ATATATATATATATATATATATATATATATATATATATATATATATATATATAAATATGTAGCTACAGTAGCTTAGCTTAGCATAAAGACTAGAAGTAGGGAATAATACACACTAACCTGGCTCCGTCCACAAGCAAACGTCTGTTAATTAGTGAGCCTCAGAGGTGCTGATTGGCAAATTGTGTTACCTTTGCACGGAGCCAGACTAGCTGTTAAACTCTATCCAGTCTTTATGCTTAAGATGTCATCTTCTCATGCTAAGCTTCTCATCCATGTCCCAGCAAGAAAAGCACGTTTTTAAGTTAAGAGATACCTTCAGCTTAGGCTCCAAAGTCGGAGAATAAGTAAGCAGGAGAGGTGGATGTGTGGATTGGACAGATGTTTGGACAGAAGGAACCATTGATTACAATAGCTAAAGTCTTGATGCTAAGCTAACAAGCGGGAAGCTATAGCCTCGAGATGAGATGGCTTTCAGCTCTCATCTTACTTTCGACAAGGAAGCAAATGAGAATTTACCCCAAAATGTTAAACAATTGCTGTGAAGATGAGTTTCTTGCGCTAATTGCTTCATTTGATCTTGAGGACTTGTTCTGAAACAAGTCCTTGTGTCCAAAGCAAGACGTCAATTATGCTGTTTCAGTTTTATGCCTATATTTTATATGTTCCTCAATTCATTTGGGTTTAACTAAATAACCCCAAAGCTAATCCGAGACCAGATATTGTTCAAGCATTATGAAACTGTACACAGTTCAACAGAACACAGAACACGTTGAACCCAGAATAACACGAGATGAACGTAAGAGTGTGTAAGCTGGCTAAAGAAACAGCAAATCAACTGAAGACTTCATACGTTCAGGAGAGGAAAACACAGCCAGTTGCCACTCTGGACTGATCTTCTAAGAGCCGGCTGATGGAAAATGAAAAGTATCATTCAAACTTATACAAACTTATTAGAGAAAAAACACCAACTTTTTCCAAAATCCTCAAGTTTGTCCTTCAGAGCATACCTGTTTCTCCAGCGTTGTGGTAGAGGAGAGGGCTAGAAGTTTAAAAACAAGGTACAACTTGAAATACTCTTGACCAAGTCTCAAAACATCAACATGAAGCTTACCAACATGAACTGTAGAAAGAAGTATTTTTTATACGCTTCATACTAAGATCTGGCGGTATATATGGTTAAGTTAACGTCCGTATATTGAGAGGAGTGATGTGCTTTCTGAATGTACAGTATCTTGTTTTCACTCACAGGGATTTCCATTTTAAAGTGTCAGGTTGGAGCAGATTACAATGCTGTATTTCAGTGTAAAACAACGTTTGGGTCTATGCGGCGCTCCATGAAAGCCGATGAAAGGTCATGTAGCTTCATGTCACCATGATGTAAACGGTGAATGTGTGTGTGTGTGTGTGTGTGTGTGTGTGTGTATGTGTGTCAGACTCAGACTGAGAGTCAGTCATGAGTGTGCATGGTGGTGGATGAGACGGTGGTTGAGTTTCACAGCGGCGTGGGGTGAGCAGAGAGGTGCCGAGATGGGCTCTGATTCCCGGTATCATCAACTTCAAACCTCCCCTGTGAGACCACAGCACCATGGCGGCTCTGTATTGGGCCGAGACCCTGAGAGTTCTCGTGACTTTCAGCTGTTAAAGGGACTGTTTGACATTTTCATCAAAAGGATGGTTTTCGGATTTTTGAATGAGAAATTGACAGGTTTACTGTAGATTACCGCGGCGGTATAAATGAAACTGGTTTCAGAAAAAGAACACTTTCTAAATGGAAAAGAGACAGCATAAGATGTCAGCATTTCATGAATACACTTTTAAAGTTAGATTAGTTTGCTGATTTGTATATTTCATGCGGGGTCAAACATTTTGCCCATCCGACATGGGGTTACAAGACACCTTTAAAGATTAAACAAATACATTTTCACAACCAAAAGAAACCATAAAGAAATTATAAAATTATATAAATGATATACATGAATACAGTATCACAATTAAAAGTACTCATTAGGCAGAAATGCCCCTTTCAGAGTGACGTATTATCATACTAATGGATGAGTGACTCGACAATTCAATGTTTTAGGTGGTCGAGGTGGAGCTAGTTTTATTACTTTATATTCTGTCGGGTTGTTTAAATAAAAACAGTGCATCTCAAAAGCTGGTTTGTAACTAAAAATGATAATATACAAAATAACTGCAGCTGCCAGATAAAGAACATTGTACTTAAGTAAATGTACTCGATTGCTTTTCCCTTGGCTGAATGAAATCAGACTTGCTGTTTTATGTCAACAGTGTACCAAAGACATCAGGCTGGACTCATACAGGACTAAAAGTAATAATTTGATCATAATCTGGTGTTTTTCTGATGTAAAACTAAAATCAGGTCAAGCAAAGAATGCCAGACAATTTAAACCGTGATGCTTTACAGAGTGTTTTTCTTGGTGACATCTTTAGACAGTGTGTAATTTAGGTCTACTCCATATGAACCCAACAACTAATGCTAAACTAAATTCAAGCAATAATGAGGAAAGATGGCAGGTTTTCAATCACACACACACGTGAATTCCACCTTTTATTCACAAGATAAAGTATTCATATATAAATGCAATTGGGAAGTACGTACAGAGAGGATATATTTGTGTCTCTGATATTTCTCATTCATCTTCCTGATTTTGTCAACGCTGCTTCATCTTAACACAGGAAGGTTTTTCCTTCTTCTATAAATCACTATATTAACAAGAGCGGTCTCAGGGACCACTGTGAAACAAGCGGTGATGTCGCTCAGCGTTAAACATTAACACATCTGCTATTTTTGAAACGTGACGCAAGGATGGAGGTGCATGACTGGAGTCACTTAAAGACAGTGTATGACCCATTTAGAGAAACCCGTAGGTATGTGCACAGCGTACATTTTAGTCAAGTATAATGAGCCGATAACACGTTGATTAAATATAGACGCGCTTCCTGTTAACATCTGCGACACACTTGCACACCTGTACGTACTGAGAACGTCTCGTCTGATATTATCTTAAACACAGAACCCACTCTTAGAAGAATGTTGTCACACACAGAAACACGAGTGCGCAGGAGTTGGTACAGAACTTTCCGTTTATTCATTTCGAATTCAGTTCACCTGACCGACTTGATGCCATTCGCAACAATTTTGTTTACTAAAACTCTCAAAAGACTTCAAACAGAGTCAACAGACACATTCAGAGTCAACTTAAAATAAAGTCCATGAAAGAAAGTCAAGATTTTCACTAAAACAGAATCTTAAAAGTTCTGACAAACTAAACAAAGAAATGCCCGTCGAATAAAAAAAAAAAAAAAAAAAAAAAAAAAAAAAGGAATGTCTTTCACATATTTTGGACAATGCACAGATAGTCAACAATAAAAGATCACAAGTGAACAGGAGCGTGTCTGAGTTGGCTGCGGTCTTTTCCTCGCACAAAGACACAACAGTGAACACAAAATATGGTGTTATAAACATCTTGAAAACAAAACGAATTGAACGGAGCTCGTACTGGCCAACAGTCTGTATTTGTATGGCAGATTTAAATTCGACCCAATTACGTTATTTTCTGACTAAATAATCTGAACAGTCCTTTCTATTAAAAAGGTTTTTTAAAAATCCTGTATCTTTTGAATATGCCACCTTATTCCTAAGGATTAGGACAGACTGTAGTTTAATTTAGCAAGTCTAATCTGTAGGTAGCTTTCCTTATACTTTGGCTCCATCTTTAGCCTGTATAGGGGAACTGCAGGAGGATGGCTTCTCTGGGTTTTAGGGTGATTTTGTCCAGGCTGATTGTAGAGTCTACCATCAGGTCCGCATCAGTCGACAGCTTCACCGTGGCCGTCTCTGGCAGCTCCACTCCTTCTGCAGGAACAAAGATCACGGTGTTAAAAACAACCAACTGCTGCTAATGAGCGTTACTGGCCGGGACGCTAGATCTTTCTGTTGAACTTGCCTGTGGGTGCCAGTTTGAGGGCGAGCAGCTCGGACGCCGAGCCCCAGTTGACAGCCGTTATGTATCTCTCGCTCTGGTCCCACACTCGGAGGAAAGAGAGGGAGGAGGTGGAGGAGAAGAGAGAGTAGTAGTCTCCGTGGAGGAGGGAGCGCTCTTTTCCTCGCAGTTCGCTGAGGGATTTGAACCAATTCCTTATGGAGACGCGCTCCGTCCGCTCAGCCTGTAAATGTGAGGATTAGGGGGGGGGGGAATATTTTAAAAACATTGAAATCTTTATTTTCTCAAAGACTCCTTTTCTACACCAACAGGCTCTGTGAACACACTCTTACCTCCTCTGTTTCGTTGACAGCTGCTCCTTCAACAGGTTCCTTCTCTATGTTCCAAACTATCTCGGGAGATCCGGCACCCTGATAAGGAAACAAAGAGGGGAGAGACAACGGTTACAACCTGGAACAGCTGTCAGGTCACTGAAACATTTGAAAAAAAAAAAAAAAAAAAAAAAAAAAAAAAAAAAAAAAAAAAAAAA